TGGCTCCGCCCCTGTATTCATGTTAGAGGCTGCAGATAGTATAGATCTCTTCTTGGCCAAGCTCTCACTACACCTCTCTCTTTATTCCTTCAATCTAGAAGTAAGAAGCTTTGGTACTCAGGAGTCAGGAGCATCTGACTTGGTCTTGGCAATTCTCTACTTCTTGTCGACAATTCTGGCTCTGTTCCTCTGCAAAGTCAAGGGAGTCACCAGCCTTTGAATCTTCACTACATTTGGAGCTACATTAAATATGTTTTGTAAGTTCTGCATGTTGGGATTCTGGCCAACAACACTAGGCATGGTAGCTTGAGATACGCCACCAACAAGGAAAAGTGCAGATGTCAAACTAGCAGAATTTGACACTCGAAAAGTATGCTATCAACGAACTTTTAAAGGTTCATATGAACAGTGCCACAAGTTTTTTCCTTAATTGGAAAAAAAAATGGATTACAAGATAAAATAAACAGAGACAATAAGATTTTCGCTTTTAAGGGTAAGGGCTTTGAAGGGAATTAGAACTAAAAATAGAAAAGTAGAAAATAAAAATGGAAATGAAGATGAATTATTTGTTTTTATATTTTATTACTATAAGTTAGTATTTATGAAATAAAAGAAGTTAATCAGTAAATTTAATATTTAAGTTAAAATTAAAGTACTCAGTGTAATTTGCATAGAACGTAATATTATCTTAAATATACTATAGACAAGGATAATTACTAGTATTATTACAAATTAAGCTTGTGTTTGTATCACACTCTTTCAAAATTTATTTTTTTACGTACTTATTTTCAACCATATATTTATACAATAAAAATTCTACAGGTAAACACCATTTTTCCATACCTCTTAACCACGCATTCTCCAAAAATTTACTATTTGAAACAATATTTGTTCAAAATAATAGCCACCAAACATGGGCTAAACTTCCCAACCCGTTTTTGATACTATATCACCTCGTGAGCTCTAGCTTAGGTACATTAGTCGATATATATTATATTATGATGCGACTAATGTGACTAATTTAGAATTATATTATTAGTGCAAATCAAGACCCCACTAAATGGGAAAGATGTAACTATTAATATTTTCAACTACAGTACAAAACACGTTGATATGTGAAATTATGTGCTTATGCGATTGTTGTTATTAGATGATATGATAATGTGACTCCTTTGTGTATTGAGATTATTGGGGAAATTTGGTGATCTTTCGAAGACGTTCATTTTATATTATCATGCATATCAAGATTTGTGGATGGTTGTTATGAGTGTGAATCCTATTACACGTGTCGTAACATTTTTGAATTCGGATAATACATCGGGCTCCCGGCGGTCATTAAGGGTAGTGGATAATATGATATTTGGAGGGTCCGACATTTGTACATGGGTTGTGCCAAGAGGTTCTTCACTAGTTTTGGGCATCACAATTCTATTTCACCAAGGTTTGTATTTGGATGTGAGATTTCATTTGCATATATAATTTCTTGTTTCAAAGTGTGTCTACAATAATAGTCTGCCTCATTAAAGTGTGTCTACAATTAAAGAAACATTTCACCTAAGTTTTCTGTTTGGATATGTGATTCATTGTCTCAAGTGTGTCAATTAAAGTTCCATTTCACCTAAGTTTTCTATCCGAATACGAAATTTCTGGTTTCGAGGTGTCTCTTCAATAATAGCCTATCCCATTAGAAATATGTCTCCAATTAAAGTTCTATTTCACCTAGGTTTTCAATTTGTACATGTGATTTCTTGTTTGAAAGGGTATCTACAATAATAATCTACTCCTATTAAAAGTGTATTTACAATAAAAATTCATCGTCACCAAGGTTTTTCTACCTAGATATGTGATTTTATTTTTTATTTTTATTTTTATTTCAAAGTGTTTCTATAATAGTAGTCTACTCTTATTAAAGTTCCATTTCACGAAGACATTCCATTTTATTACGTGATTTCTTATTACATAGTGTGTCAACAATAACAGTTTACTCGTATTGAAAGAGTGTTTATCCTCGTATTCGTAGAACCCACAAATTATTATCCAATTTCTTGAATTCCCAATTAAAATTCTTTTTAGCAAACTTGAAGTTTAAATTTTTCTCATATAGTATATATATATATTACAAGTTGGACAGAAAGGCATATTTTACCTCAATTTTACTCAATTAACGTGCCACCAACCTTTTGAGTCTTAAGATGCACGAAACAAGTAATCATACAACTCTGCGAAATTAAAAAGAAACCTGCATGAGACTCTCTTTGTTAGTTGTAAGCATGATTAAAGATGTCATTAGCTTACCTTTCAAGTATTCGCCGAAGCAAACTCGTCTAAAAGAATAAATCGATCTTCTTACAATTCTTAGTTTAAAAAGTATCATGTTACATAAATTATATTTGACTTAACTTTTTTATAAACTTAATCGAGTTGACATCTGTGTGTTCAGGATCGACACAATGAAACAAGAGAAGAGAGCGTCGGTATCATTAGAGACGAAATAGAAGTAAACTTCGTCTAAGAATGCATCAACATTTTATGATAGGTTTCGTGTACAAAACTAATATTGAGTAGGAAATGGGTTGCAATGATTGAGTGATTAAAACCCATTAGGAGACAGAATTTTTCCTTACGGCATCAGCTACTTCTATTTTAATTATTAAAGTTCAATAAATTGTATTAGTGGGACATCCACAATCTTTATCAATTATTTATTTTATTTTAGATGATCAATTTTTGTTTTTTATTACCAAAATTATTTGTTTTATTTTGATGATCAATCACATTGATTTATTTTGAAAACAGAATACTTTATTTGACTCGATATTTAAATTTCATATAATATGGTAACTTCGTTGAACTTTTTTTGTCACCAAACTCTCCATCGCTTTGAGTCGAACTCAATTCCATCCACCATCACACTCAATTTTAATTTATAATTATTAGATAATCTACTTATTGGTTTTCCTCTCTTTTAATTATTTATTAAAGTAATTAATTGATTTACTTATATAATAAAAATTAATTTATTTAAATATGGGATAAATTGTAAATAACTTTCCGTAATATATTGCGTACTGCTACAGCGCGAGTCACTCTCAGCGAGAGTCATTCTGTGATACGCAATGCCTGAGTTCTAGAGAGAAACGAAGATTATAATTACTTTGATCTTCTCTTTCAATTTTCCTTAGATATTTTCGACATAATTTTGATGGGTTGGTGGAGTAAAATCCAACACCTTATCTTCGAAGAATAACCTTTCATAATTACCAATTTCCTTCCTTAATAGCCTCAAACGAACAATTTCTTGTCCAAGAAAAGTGTACAAGAACAAAACTAAACATAAAATCCTAGTCTTTCACTTTATTCTCTGTTCTGCTCCCCCCGTCTTGTTTACCTCTGTTTTTCTTCGTTTCTGCAGCCTGTTTTTTTGTCCGGGATTTCATTGGACATCTCCGAGAACTGTCGGCCTCTGTTTTATGGTACGTCTGTTACTATGTCGAGCATCTTCTAATATTCTTACTGAGTTGCTGTATAAAAGATTCTACGAGGTTTTGGTTTTATGGGTGTAGGATTCTACGTAGCTCCCACATTTAGGTTGAATGTAAATATTGTATGTTCAGTTTATTTATTGTTTTCATTGAGGGTTTATTATTTCTCATGTAATACTACTAAGGGATTGAGTTTAATCTCTGGCAGTATTTACGAGCTTTCTTTTTACGAGTCTGTTTCTTCTGAATTTTTCTTCTTGTTTGTTATCACTAATTAACATGAATTTGCTCAAGATTGGTTGTTAGAGTGGAGAAACCAAGAATTCTCGTTTTTCGTCATCAATAGAATCAAAAAGAATTAATAACAAAAATTTTGTGGTTGATTTTGGGCAGATTCGTGTTCTTTGAGTATGGATAAAGAGAAACCGAATCTTCATTCCCCTGATACAGTTCTGGAGGACTTCTTTAGAAGTGAGGACTCTGAAACAGAGTCTTCGAAAGCAAGCACGTCTGAAATTGAAGCTCAAATAGATCGAAAACCTGCTTCTTTATGGACTGCATTTATTCAATTATTTAGAAATGAGTCGAAAAGACAATTCCCCAACTTGCATCCTCTCAATGCCTTCAAACTATCCAAGATATTTAGCAGCAGCATGAAAGAGTACGCGTGTGGCTTGTCTAATCCCCTCATCAATGCCAATCTAAACTATTTCAAGCCTCACTGGAAGAACTTTAGTTTCTCCGAACTTCAAACTGCAACCAACTTCTTTGGCCAAGGTTAGTAATATATTTTGAAATTCGAGTTTGTGTCAATACCTCCATCATTGATTATTAAGTGTGAATTGCTTCTGTATCTAGGTTATTTGATTGGGAAAGGTGGTTATGCCGAAGTATACAGGGGCTGTTTGGAAGGAGGCCAGCTAGTTGCAATTAAACGATTGACTAGAGGACCCATGGAGGAGAGAATCGGGGATTTTTTATCTGAACTCGGGATAATGGCTCATGTTAACCATCCCAATACTGCTAAATTGATTGGCTATGGGGTTGAAGGTGGAATGTACCTTGTCCTTGAGCTGTCTCCAGTCGGAAGCTTGGCTTCTTTACTTCATAGTTAGTGCACGTGATCCTTTTTTAATGGTTCTCAAATTTATTGTTTCTGTTTATTCCATTATTGATGATTTATACAGATTCGAAGAAGCTGGAATGGGATATCCGGTATAAGGTTGCCTTGGGAACAGCTAAGGGCTTACTGTATCTTCACGAAGGTTGTCAAAGGAGAATTATCCATAGAGATATTAAGGCTGCTAATATATTGCTTACGGAAGACTATGAACCTCAGGTATCATCAAAATCTTAATGAGCTGATACATCGTTTTTTTTTCCCTTTTGATGTTGATGAAATAGCCTAAAGAATCTTATATTTTATAAGGTTTTTGGGTGCTTAGTCCTAAAAGTTACCTTCAATTCAGATTTGTGATTTTGGACTTGCAAAATGGCTGCCAGAGCAATGGACTCACCTCACCCTATTAAAATTCGAAGGCACATTCGGGTTTGTAGAATATCATAATTCCTTAATTTTTCGTCCATAACCATATAAAATTTTACCACTAATCTCTGAAAAGATTTCTTTGCTATCCTTTTTTTGCAGATATCTTGCTCCTGAGTTCTTAATGCACGGCATAGTAAATGAAAAAACCGACGTTTTTGCCTTTGGGGTGCTGCTGTTGGAACTTATTACTGGGCGTCGAGCACTGGATTATTCACAGCAAAGTCTTGTTATGTGGGTATGATGACTCTCCCCCTGTCCTCGAGTTGCTATATATGATTGTGAGTTTGTGACTAATGCAATGGGTGAACGACATTTAGAGATTTGTCATTGCTTTTTGTTTACGATAGGCAAAACCACTGTTGAAGAAGAACAATATTAAAGAGCTCGTCGATCCCTCACTTTCCGATGACTACAACTCGGTACAGATGAATCTCATGATTTTGGCAGCTTCTCTCTGCGTGCAGCAGTCTTCTGTTCGACGTCCTCGAATGAGTCAGGCATGTGTACTTATACCATGGCTTATGTTTTTATGTGAATCTTACGACCAAAGAAATTTCCCTAAGATTTGTAGGGATTAACTTATTTTCTTCCTTGATCCTGTGTGGTACTGTGCGGTCCAAAATACTAAACATACTACAAGCGTTCTCCTTGAGGATTAGTAGTATGAGAAGAAACTAGCATGTTTTAATTTTCTTGCGGGTTACATACTCCAATATACTATTTTTGTTTTTATTTTTTGGAAAATTCGTGAACTCGTGCCCGTAAATTAAGGACAGTACAATGTAGTTCAGTCTAATTATACTTTTGCGCCGTTGAGAGTGAAAAACTGTATTGATTTTGCAGGTTCTGCTGCTTCTAAGAGGAAGCTGTGGTAGCCTAGACTTGGTACAAAAATGTAGAAAGCTGTCCAGTTGGAAGAAGTATTATAAAGAGCTTTTTAGTGCAGAGGAACATACCTTAAATAGCAGTTTAAGTCTGCAGTCACAGATGGTCCGGAAAGTCTGAATGTTAGACCCCGAGTTCCTATCATTTGCTCGTATATGGTTCATGCAGCCCGATTGTGGCCAGGGGTGATTTGTTGGAAGAACGCACCATTTGCAGGTTCACCTAATATCAGGCAAAGAAAGCAATGTACAGTGTAAGATCGCAAGGACGCGGTTAAGGAAATTGTAAACTTACAAGATATATTACACCAATGAAGTGACGAAAAAGGATTTACTAGTCGAGTCAAGATTTATTGAGGTTGTTCTATATCAAGTAGTCAAATGCACGACTGTGAATGTGTAAATTTTTTTGCTAAGGATAGAGTGTTGGAATAATGTTTCTACACAAAGGACAAATGAGATAGAGAAGAAACAAAAAAAAGCGTAATCAACAACTTCAAAAAAAAATTCAAAGGCTTAAACATGTAATCTTTGTCTTCAAATAATATTTGTCCCATCTCGAATTGAATTTGATGCTTAAATGGACTCTTAATAAATGGTTTGCAGGATTTATCAAACATTGAAAAGGAATAAGCATTTAAACACTAATGAAATTCCTTCAAAACTCAAGAACACAAAATAGAATTTTGGATATGATAGAGAATAGGTTTTTGATCTTTCTTGTGGATTGAAATTTGATCTCAAGTGATTTTTTTATATTTTGTATTGATCGTTGATCATCTATTTATAGATTTCAACCAATACTACACAAAATGGTGCTCAAACATGATGAAAAGAGGCAATTTTTCATCTAAAAGGACACCAGATTTCAAGTTGAAAAACCAGTCAAAGGCTCGTTTAAAACCCTATGCATATGCATAGTATAATACAAGTGTACGCATGGACGCATGGTAGAAGCCTTTTTGCTTATGTTTTTACAGGCTTAAACCATGCATATGCATGGACAAAAACTCAAATTTCCCAATTTTATTCCACACTCTATTTTATTGATTTTGAACAACAATTTCGACAATCCCTCACTTATTCCATATTCAATAAAATCTTATATTCAAAATATACAACGCTTACGCATAAGGATTATATATCTTTCAATTTGAATATAATCGTAGTGTAATTTAAGCAAAATAAAGTCGAAATTAAAAGTAACATGAAAGTTTTGAACCAATTATTTCATGTGATAATACCGTAAGAACACACACAAGTATCAAATATTCTCAAGTTCTTCAACTCGCTTAGAGCTAATATGGTCCTGCACTCATCATTTTCAACAAATTTTTAAGAGATAAACTCTAACTCTCTACTGAAGCGGCATCATTTCGAAGTTCATTTATGTGAAATTCTTCCAATATCTTTGTTACTTTTAGAGATACTTGTACTTAATACTGAACTTCATTAAGAGTTTAAAACTCAACATTCACTTGAGTAACAACCAACATTATATAATTAGGATAGGGTCATCGCGGATTTTATAATGCTGAAACTATCAACATATCGAATGACTTGTTACCATTTGAACTCGTGAATTACTTGTTAAGTAATGACATGTAGGGTTGACATCATTGGTGGATCTTTTAGTTTAAGAGTTTCAACCCCAACCTACTCGAAATAGATATTACTCATCTCTATTTAGAGATTTAGTTAAAGATCCGTTAAGTTCTCTATTGACTTAACATAATTTAGAGAAATTATTACACCATTGATTAATTTCTTTATGTAGTCATATTTTAGACCCGTATGTCTAAACTTTCTATTGTATACCTCGTTGTATGTCTTTGCTAATGTGGCTTGACTATCACACATGATAGATATTGAAGATGTATTCTTCGATCTTAAAGGTATCCCATAAAGTAGATCCTTAAGTCACTCACTTCTTTCTCGATTTCTGATAGTGCTACAAATTCAAATTTCGTAGTTGAGTGTGTTATACACGTTTGTTTCTTTGATTTTCAAGAAACAACGCTACCTCCAAGAGTAAACATCCAACTCAAAGTAGATTTTCTTTCACCCTTACTAGATATCCAACTAATATCGGTAAATCCTTCTGATATAGCCGAAAATTTAGTATATTGTAGACCTAAGTTCTTAGTTTTTTTTTTTTTTGAAATGGCCAAGAACTCTTCCAATGGTTTTCCAATGTTCCTTACTCAGATTACTAGTAAACCTATTAAGTTTACTTATTGCAAATGATATGTCCAGTCTTGTGCATTGAATTGCATACATAAGACTCCCTATAGCACTTGCATACTCCAATTGAACAATTTCTTTTCCATCATTCTTTATAAATTTTAAACTTGGATCAAGAGGAGTACTAAATTCTTTTATGTTCAAATGCTTGAACTTATTTCTCACATTCTCGATAAAATTTGATTGACTTAAATTGTAACCCCCACTAGTTTTAGTAACTTNTATAGTATTATTGGCTTAAATGATAACCCCCACTAGTTTTAGTAATTTTGAGACCCAAAATGGTATTCACGTTTCCAAGATCCTTCATCTTGAATGTAGAAGATAGAAACATCATCGTTTCTTTTATTCTATTCATGTGATTACTCAAAATTAACATGTCGTCAACATATAAACAAATAAATATAATATAATTATCACATAATTTGGAATATAAGCATTATCTACACTATTAAGTTTGAAACCAAATGAATTATTAGCTAGGTCAAATTTCTCATGCCATTTCTTAGATACTTACTTTAGACCGTATAATGATTTCACTAACTCGCGCACCTTTTGTTCATTTATGGGTAGAGCAAACCCTTTGAGTTGTTCCATATAAACTTTCTTGTCAAGATCCCCATTTAAGAATGACGTCTATACATCTATTTGATGAACACGCAAGTCATATATAGGAGTTAATGTGAATAATATCCTAATTGATGTTATTTAGCTACCGGTGCATAAGTATCAAAATAATCTATTCATTCTTTTTGTCGATAACCTTTAGCTACTAATCTAACTTTAAATGTATCAAGAGAATCATCAACATTATATTTTCTCTTAAACACTCATTTACACCCATTCATTTCTCATATATCGTTCGACATAATTGAATCCATTTTATCTATAATTGAATCTTTCCAAAAGATGAAAGATGTTATCATGAGAAGCCATAGCTTCTCTATAAGTTTTAAAATCGATTTCCACTTGTAAAATAAAATGAATTATTCTTACAATACTCTTCTCATTTCTCTCTGCTAGGTAAAGTGAAATAAGTTAATAATCAATTTCATCCATTCATAGAGACTTCTCAATTCAAGTTCATTTACCTTTTCAAGGTTCACTATATTCTTTAATATCTTTAGAAGATATTTCATCTTGTGTTCCACTAGAGTTATAAATCTCTTTATGAGTTTCCCTTAATTCATTATACGAAAATAGTGAATTTTCAAATAACTGCACGTCATTTGATTCAATTATCACATTGATCTCCAAATTCAATAATCTATATGGTTTGCTATTACTTGCATATCCAACAAAGGCACATTTGATGCCTCTTAAACCCAACTTGGTCCTATTAGAGTTTGTGTTATTACAATATGCAAGACACCCCCACACTTTGAAATATACAATGTTTGATTCTCTTCATTTCCACAATTCACAAGGAGAAACCTTTGTAAATTTCAAAAGAATTCTATTTAATATCCTATATGCACTCAATAATGTTTCATCCCATAAATTAAAAGGCAACTTAGTATAAGTTAGCATGACATTTATCATTTCAACTCAAGTTTTGTTTTTCCTTTCAGCCAACCATTTTGTTCCGGTATCCTAGGTGTAAAATATTGATGAGTTATGCTTGTTGATCACAAAATAAATTAAAAGCACTAGAAGAATATTCACATCAGATAATTTCTTAGAGTTTTTATTTTCTTATTTAAGTGATTTTTCACTTCATTTTTATATATTTTAAATATATCAAAAGTTTCATGTTTATGTTTCATTAAATAAACATATGTATATCTAGAGTGATCATCTATAAAGGTAATAAAACACATATTTTCACATCTACTTAACATACCATTTAATTCGCATATGTCTGTATGAATTAATTCTAAAATATTAGGAGTCTTATTTATACTTTGATAAGGCTTCTTAGTCATTTTAGATTCTACATTTAAATGCATCATTTAAATGAATCGATCAAATAAACTAACTAAACTTTATTATTAATTAACTTGTCAATGGTACAAAACTTGATCATTTCTTCACTAGAATAGCCTTTTTTCCAACAAATTTTCCATTTAGGGATAGTACAAATTTACCAGACTCAAACACTTTTTATAGCCGATTTTCCTAAGAGATTACCACTAAGTTTCTATTCATATCAGTAACATATAGTACATTTGTTTAAAGTAACATTTTTTCAGAAAATGAAGATAATTTCTACATTTCCTTTCTAAACTACTTTGGAGTGGCATTTGTTGCTCATTTGAATCTCTTAATCTCCATCCACTTTATAATAGGTCTTGAATAAAGACTTATCATATGATACATGTACATTTGCACATGTATCATACCATTAATCAAGAACTTTTCCATTGATTGCATTTATATCACTTATGGTAGCTACAATATTGTCTTCTTTGATGGAGTTCACTTTTCTTTCAAAATTGTTTAGCATTCGGTGTCGATATTCCTTTGCATAGCGTCATAGTTTCCCACATACAAAGCAACCACCCTTGGACTTATTCTTAAACTTGTTAAAGTTTTTAGAAGGCTTTCTCTCGTTAGATTCATTTGAAAGTTCGGTCTTGTTCACGGCGTTGGCCTTTGAAGTGCCTTCATAAGAATTGTCAATCTTATCTCTTACCCTCGATTCTTCTTCAATTAGAAGATGTTTTTGCACTTGTTCCAAAGAATAGTCTTCGAAACTATGCATAATTTTCTTTCGATATCATGTTCAAGTTTATGGAAGTTTTGCAATGATTGCTCCAACTTGAAAAGATTCCAGAATTTCAATTTTGACTGCTTTCAACTTACAAAAACTTGCAATTCATGCACTTGGGAAAGAAGGGAACATTATCAACGAATTTGAAGTTGAAACACGTTGAGAATATGACCGCAGCATATGAGTTCATCCTCTTAACTCTTTTGTCTTTCCATCTTTATAGCTTCGGTATCTTCATCCGTTGGAACCCCAAGTGGTGCCAATTTTGGATCAAGAATGTAGAAGATCTTCAATGTCGTTAGGAGAAACTTTAACGCATTGTAAAATTTGTCTAATCAAAACGGTCCAAACGAACGAGGTCTTAATTCATTGACTTGATCGTAGCATGGTAGTTTCATTCTCCATTGTAAAATATCTTTTGAAATTGTCAGAATAATGTTTTCACATAAAGGGAGTGGAGAAGAAACAAAAAAAATATATAATCAACAACTTCAAAGAGAATTCAAAGACTTAAACACGTAATCGTTGTCCTCAAACGATATTTGTCCCCTCCCGAATTGAATTTGATGCTTAAAGGGACTCTTGGCAAATGGTTGAAACGATTTATCAAGCCTTGAAAAAGAATAAACACTTAACNTTGTCCTCAAACGATATTTGCTCCCACTAGGATTGAATTTGATGCTTAAATGGACTCTAACAAATAGTTTACAGGATTTATCGTACCTTGAAAATGAATAAACACTTAAACAGTAGTGAAATTCCTTCAAAACTCAAGAACACAAAACATAATTTTGAATATAATAGAAAACAGGTTTTTGATCTTTCTTGTGGAATAAAATTTGATCTCAAGCGATTTTTTATATTTTGTATTGATTGTTAATCAACTATTTATAGATCTCAACCAATATTACACGAAATGGTGTCAAAACATGATGAGAAGAGGCAATTTTCCATCCAAAAGGACACCAAATTTCAAGTTGAAAAATCAGCCAACGGTTGATTTAGGCTAGTTTTTAACCATATGCGTATGCATGGGCAAAAACTC